TCAAAGACCGGAAAAAAAATAGAGTGGAAGCGACAATAGAAAGGACTCTGGGACTTCAATAAGCAGATGAATGCTTATCACTGGTGTCTGCTGCTCTCGTAATCATTCGCACCCACCGCCCAAAAAAGCGGGTTCGCTGCCTAGATGGCCCACGCTTTCCGGCACATCGCCAGGGCCATGAGCCGCTCAGATCCATGCCTCTCATGTGGCCGGGGTTTTGCCAGATCCAGCATCAATGACACCGCAAGACGAGAAAGAAAGCAGTCACACCATTAGACTCCCACTGATCTTGGCGGTGCATGTTCGGTGCTGTGCCCACTCTGTGCTGCTACCGATACATACAGTGCGCAGGAATGACATAGCGTCCCGGCCACTGGATCGCCCCCTCATTCAGTTGCATTTCGAGACATCTGGATGCAGACCAAGCGAATCGGTGTGCTGAGCATGGGTCATTGCTACATGCCTTGCTTGGTTGCTGGCAAGGCTGCCTATGTGTGCAGTTCGCGGCAGCTGCGCGGATTGTGACTGCGGCATTTGGGGCTGCAGAACAATGCAGCAGCTTGCCAAGAGGGCACTCGATTGTTTTGTCACACGGTGCACGGAGGACTGTGCGCTATTCCCGTCTTTCGACATTGCCTTTGTTTCGGATGCACTGGAGGGCGGGTGAGCAGCCAGCCAGCACAAAATTCGGTGTGGCAAATCTCCCCACCCACGAAAAAGGATGTGCCAGCTGCATCGGCTTCTCCCCCATGTGATATTCTTTTGATGCCGCGTGCAGCCATTTGTGACAATTTCTCCTAGCCTGTGTCGCACCACTTGCTGTTTTTGCAATTTTGCACCCAGCCCACCCCCTCGATGCATGCTGCCATTCCTCCATGCTAGGCATTATTTTCCTTCAAATGCAGCAAAATGTGACAAATGGAGAAATCCAGGCACATCCTGTGTGACGCTCCTTGGCGCAAAATGGCCTCCGACGGCACACTGAGCCAAACGATCCAGCAATCGCCCCCTGTCCTTCGGAGCAGCAACACCGATGGAACGGCGACAGTGCCTGCCAACAGCCCATCTTTTGTCAAGCTGGTCCTGCCGCCTGCGAAAGGCAGATGGCTCTTTCTATACATAGACGCCTTCCATTTATCCAAATAACAGTCGTTCGAACGTGTTCTACGGCCGGCGCTCATCCTGAACGTCCTGTCTTGCCTGCATATGCCGTATAACCATCCTGCCACATGACATAGGCACTATGCTATATTTGCATTAGGTCCTTGATTTATACCAATTCAACGGAGCAGCGCATCTTTTGTCTTCAATAGACCTGTGCATTTTAGTGGGGCAGCGGGCGAGTGTGCATGCTTGTGTGTATGATTCAATTAGGCTCATATATTTGTTTCACTTTGGCTAGAGAAGAGAAGAGAAACTGGTACAGTAGGTCAGTGTGACTGAAAAGTGCGTGTGTTTTACGCGAGTGCTAATAGTACATGGTGGAAGATCAAGAACGAGTGAGGGGAAGTCATCAAAATAGGCAATCCTGCCTGGAGCCTTGGCCAGTCACAGCCCAGCTGTGACTTTGGGGAGGCAAAGGGACTACTGGGCAGAAGCGGAAAGAGGAGCAAGGACAGCTCCGTGGCTCGTTTACCCAAGGGCAACCATCAGCACGCCAGCAATCATCAGGGCAAGGCCGAAGATACGGGGCAGGGTGGCCGGACGGTGGATGCACTGGAAGAAAGCAAACGAGTCAACGATCAGGGCAGTGACCATCTGAGCACAAATGGTGATGCCTGAGACGACAGCGGCACCACGGTACGGGATGAACAGGGTAATGAACAGAACGAAGGCGGCACCCGGAATGCCTCCGAGCCACGCCCACCAAGGAGTGGTCTTGGCCGCGTTCTTCCAGTTGATGGCCTTGCCACCGCGGGTATCGACCATGAAGAAGACGAAAAGGACGGTTGAGCCGATCGCGAACGAGAGCCACGACGAGAACCCACCGTTGACATGCACCGACAGCGAGCCATTGACAACCCCCTGAAGCGAAGTGCAGACTCCACCAAGCATCAGGAGGAGGAGATCAAGTGCCAGCATCTTGTCGAAAGTGACATTGCTGTTCACCCGCGGCTTCTCGATCACGACGGAGTTCTTGATTGCGTCGACAAATCCACCCTTAGCCATGGTATGTACTATCTGAGATGAAGAAGTGTCCTCTGGTAGATGTGGAGTTGAATGAGAAGGTAATACAAAGAGTATTCGACTGCTGCTGCGAAAGTTCGTATGGGAAACAGTCTGCGAGAAAGGAGCGTGAAGGAAATAGAAGTTCGGTCAATGAACCTTCTCTCGCAGGTGCCTTTATATAAACGGCGTTCTGCTCTGGGCCACCCGAGGGCTTAAAAGTGCGCTACTGACGAATTGCGGTTCCCGAATGTGGCCAATTATTACATATCGCCGCGGGAATGAATAGATCGCCCTGCCCCGCTCCTTGGCCTTCCTGGGACTGAGTGTGTGCATGTCGCAAAGTGAGACAATTCGACTGCATCCAGAGCCGACTCCGCTCCTCTTTGCTGCCCCGATGGTCTTGCTACCCAGTTTCTCTCGCCCAGAAAGCCGAAGCTAGATCCACGCTCTTGAGAGTGGAGAGGGCGAGCCCGTGGCAGTTTGCTCTATCCGAGAGCTGGCTGCTACCCTTCCCAGGCAGTGCTTGGGGTTGCCGAGAAGCATCTTTTATCTTTTTCGCCATGCCTTGCAACCCAAACGGCGGATGCATGGAATCTTCACTTCAATGTCCAGATAGCCGGCCACTAGAATGCGTAGAGCAGTCGAACACAGCGAGTATTTGGCGCCTTTGATCTTAGTGACACGGGGGCATGCCTGTCACACTTCGCTTGTGCATTCCGCATATGGAAATATGGGCAGGGCAATCTCGTCACGGCGGGGCTGCGCTGGCCGCGCATCACATGAACTAGATTCGTTGTGGCAGCGAGTTCCGCTGCTCTTGTTTTTATGTTTTGGTGTGAGGAGGCCCGTCCGGGTCCGCGCGGAGGGCTGTGCACCCCGGCAAATATTTATGCTTGTGGTATTCGGGTACTCGCCAGCTGGTGGGGGAGAGGCGTTTGTCCCAGAAAAACCTTCTTTTTCGCTGAATATAGACGCGCAAATGAAGGTGGGCACGGAAAAGGGCAGCGCCGGGCCCAGCCAGCCAACCCGGGATTCAGCTCCTGCGAAGCAGCTGTTTGGGGATGGGGGCTGGTATGAAAACAGCAATATCTCCTAAGGGGATACCGGGCACGTCATGGTCTGGCTGTATACGGAAGACACCGCTCCAAGGGGTATCGGCAATGACGGCATACCGACATAGCACGCATCCTAAACTAAGCCGAGCATGGAGTGAAATGCTGTCTTGTCAGAGAACACTGCCCGAGTCACTCGCACAGGTTGAGAGACAAGCCCTTCATTAATCGGGCCAGCTATGACGATATGCACACATTCTGCATCAGAATTAGAAGGTAGCACGGCACGTAGTGTTCTTGGGTGTGGGTGCGGTGCCGACAGCTACTGATGCCGGTCCTGGGTCCGTAGCAGCATAACCAGGATGGATCTTAATCAGTCTGATCTCTAATTCCCATATAGGGCCGATCAGCGTATCAACCGATCACCGATGTTGATGTTAGTCATTTGGTGCTATCGATTCACCAATGCACTCTGCTGCTCACCACTCCGGCGGCAGCGACAGTGGGGCCTCGATCTCGCCACCTGAAACGCCTACGTATAGACGTCTTCGTTCTCTTTCCATCCAGCTTGCATTCACCACGTCGCCTCCGGATCTTGTCGCCCTTAAACAGTACACTCTTGCGAGCCAGCGCACATCCCCATTTGCCACTGCCCGCCACCGCAATAAGCAAATCGACATCTGAGATACTGGACTAACACGAGACACAGCGCTTCTCTCCAGCAAAAGGCACACCTATATATCCAATGACACCAACAAACAACGGCCCCTCAACTCTGGTTGGGTCCAGCGACATCGCACCCAACTCTCGCAGCATTAATGAAAACACGATCATGCCCAGCGATGTGAGCTCAGGCTACCAGACACCGGTGAGCGGATTGAAACAAGCGAGCGCCGCAGATGGGCCGGACTACTTGCAGATGATCCTCTCTTCGTACGTCTACGACGTGGCCACCGAAACACCCCTGACACATGCAGTGAATCTCTCAACGCGCACGGGTAACTCGGTGTTCCTGAAGCGCGAGGACCTGCAGCCCGTGTTCTCGTTCAAGATCCGCGGCGCCTACAACAAGATCAGCCACCTGACGCAGGAAGAGAAAGACCGCGGAATCATCGCCTGCTCGGCTGGCAACCATGCGCAAGGCGTAGCTATGTCGGCCAAGCACCTGGGCATCAAGGCCACCATTGTCATGCCGATCTTGACTCCAGCCATCAAGTGGCAGAATGTCAAGCGTCTAGGCGCTAATGTCGTCCTCCATGGCGCCGGCTTCGACGAGGCCAAGGTTGAGTGCAGCCGACTGGCCAAGCTCCACGGCTTCACCAACATCCCGCCGTTCGATGATCCGTACGTGATCGCTGGCCAGGGCACCATCGGCATGGAGCTGTTGCGCCAGAAGCGGCCGTCTGACATTGACGCGATCTTTGTTGCCGTTGGCGGTGGAGGTCTGATCGCCGGTATTTCGGCGTACGTCAAGCGTGTGTGGCCTGATATCAAGGTGATTGCTGTCGAAACCGTCGACTCTAATGCAATGTGCCAGTCGTTAAAGCTGGGAAAGCGCGTGGTGCTTCCCGAGACAGGCCTGTTTGCCGATGGCACTGCTGTGCTGCAGGTTGGCCGTGAGTGCTTCCGTGTCGCCAAGGATCTGATCGACGATGTAGTGCTGGTGACTAATGATGAGATCTGTGCTGCCATCAAGGACGTGTTCGAGGACACGCGCAGCGTTCTCGAGCCCTCAGGTGCCCTGGCGTTAGCTGGTCTCAAGCGGTACGCCAGGGACCACAGCTACAGCGGCAAGAATCTGGTGGCTGTGACGTCAGGTGCCAACATGAACTTTGACCGCCTTCGGTTCGTCGCCGAGCGTGCGGCACTCGGTGAGCAAAAGGAGGTTCTGCTCTCGGTGATAATCCCAGAGCGGCCTGGCAGCTACCTGAAGCTGCACGATGTGATCTTCCCGCGGGCCATCACCGAGTTTTCCTACCGCTACTCTGATCCCAACAAGGCCCACATCTTCATGTCGTTCGAGGTCAAGGACCGCACAAAGGAGGTGTCAGAGATCCTGAACGAGCTTAGTTCCAAGGACATGCAGGCCATCGATCTGACGGACAACGAGCTGGCCAAATCACATGCCCGTTACATCGTCGGCGGTCGCAGCGATATCCAGAACGAGTACATGATCCGCTTCGAGTTCCCTGAGCGCCACGGCGCGCTGAAGAAGTTTTTGCATGGGCTCAGATTCAACTGGAACATCACGCTGTTCCAGTACAGAAACTTTGGCCAGGATGTCGCCAAGGTCTTGGTTGGTGTCCAGGTGCCGCCCAGCGACGAGGATGCGTCGCTTAAGCCCGGCGAGTTCCCCAAGGCAGTCCAGCAGTTCCTGGATGAGCTCGAGTACAAGTACTATAACGAGACCAACAACCCAGTCTTCCAGCAGTTCATGCGCTACTAGTGGATTAGTTTCTTGAAGCATGCAAAGTTAAAAATATATACCAGCACTGCCTCATGCTACATGAAGTCGCAGTGGCCCTCCACTTGTGTCCTAATCTGGCGGTAGTCAGCGCGACACGCAACCACATCATAAACTTCCTCAGACCGCATGACGCCGTCAAACGTGTGTCTCGAGTACTGGTCGCGCAGGAACCCGCGCAGATCGCGCGGTGCCAGGATGAAGCAGTTTGCCAGGTCTTTGAGCGCCGTGAAGAAGCGCAACGTCTCTGGGTCGACATTGTTCTCTGCCCAGTCATAGTACAGATTCAGATCTGCAATGAGCTGGAACCCACCTGGCTCAGTGATCTGGAACCGCTTGATGTTCTCCAAAAGCACATTGAACAGCCTCAGTCCAATCTCGCCCAAAAACACTTCGCGCATTTGCTTCTGCGTCGTCATGCTGCGGATAATCTGCGTTGACTCGCTCAGGAACTGCACTGCACGCGTGCATGCCAGTGTTGGCGTCAGCGTCAGCGACGAGTTGCTGTTAGGATAGTAGTCGTTGAGGCGCTGCTCGGTGTCCAGAATGTGCTGTGTCTGCCGCAGGATGATCTCAATCACGCAGTCCATACCCACTGCAACATTGTCGTCGATAGCATGCTCCAGCGCTTTCTTCTCCTGGTTGCAGATATTCAGAAAGTCGTCCTCGACAATGAACTGGCAGAGATCCCGCTTGTAGTAGATCTCGAGCATCTGCACCGCCAAGTCACACAGGTGGATCAGCTCGAAAAAGCGCAGCTCCACCGACACAAACCGGTCGCGTAGCTCCTTCTCGGCCTCGATTCGCTGCGCAGAATACGCTTGGCTATGCCTTCCTGCAGTAGCCGTATTGTCACCAGACCCGCTAGCTGTTCCACCCAGCATCGCGCGGCCCTGGGATCGCTGCTCGTGCGGAACCATCACAACCATCGCCGAGTGCTCGAGCTCCCGCAGCTCGGCTATGATCCTACATTGCAAACATTGATGTTTTAATGCACACTCCAGGTTACAGCTTGCATAATTCTACGCAAACAAGCAGCCGGCCGCTAAATATTGATACGGAAACATGCGCGCACATATGACCTTGAATCCATCGAGTGCGGCCCATGGTACATGTGGATAATTGCAGGACTGATCGGAATTGGTGGCACAAGGTTCAAAATTCGCCGCTCCAAAAGGCACATTCCATGCACACTCGCCTGCCTGAATTGGTGTCGCTTCCAACACGGCCGGACTGATGGTTCCTTCGCTTACCTTGTAAACACAGGCCGAACATGGTTGCCCACACTCTGCAGAAGAATGCAAAACACCGATTCGATCGCATCCTGCCTACACAAACGAGCAATTCCATTTTTAACCCGAGTGCTCCCCGCGAGACCCCTCGTTCGGCTCATGCAAGGAATGGGGTCCTCCCCAAACAGCGCAGGTGCCGCGCGCATACGCATGTACACGGACAGGAAGAGGTTCCATTTGGAAGTATGGAGAGAAAGGGCGCTGCTCTGACGTCCGGTCTATTGAAGATCGCCTCCGCAAAGGCAGAGCTGCAATCCGCCGGCACATCTACTCCCTCTCCCATTCCTGCCCTGGTCACAAAAGCATGGAGGGAGTTCCAGGCAGCGCAGAGTCACTGGCAAATGTTTGCAAGATCCCCGTCTGCATATGCACTCTGCATAGAACTCGAATGCGAGAGAGAGCACAAAGCGGGGGGAATCCAAAGCCCAAACAGACAGCGCGGGCCTGGGTTGCATTAAGGTGGCATGCGCTGGTTGGCCTTCTCTCCCCAAATGCATTGCCGGAAGGACACACTGCATTCCGGTACAGCCCCTCAACAGCGCATGTCAATCGGTCCCAGCACGGTTCTAGTTGCCAAATCCAGCGCACCCACGCAGATACCAAAGTACTTACGCTAGACGTCGCAGCCGCATATCCGGCGGTGCCTCAGCGAACACTGACAGACGGGTAATCGCGTCTCTGTTGGTAAGGACCATGTTCAAACACAGATCTATGCTGATTGGCGAGTTCCACAGCATGTCGCCGACAACAGTCCTCCTCAATGGCTCAGCTTGCGCAACGCTCGATCGTCTACGTGCCAGCGATCCCGCAAGCTCAGCATGTCCACGCCCATGCTCGCCAGCAGCATCCCCTACACTGCATTTTCTGACAGCCGCTGCTGGAGTTTCCGCTCCCCCAGACTCTTCTACTACTGTCTCCAGTTGCTCATCTGTAAAACTGCCAGCGCTTATTGCGGCTGCCGGCTGATCTCCCTCTCTGGCCAAGGCATCCAGTTGATCCCGTATGTCGCTCGAACCCGCACGCTCTGCTACTTTCGCTATATCAGCGCTGTCGAGATTGACGCCAAGTGCTTCAGCCGGCAGGCTGATGTTGAGCTTGCGTTCGAGCACTGTCAGTACATGCAGCTTGTAGTCCTGCATCTGCTGCTCGCGCTGGTGGAAGTTGACCAGTCGTATCGATTCTACCGTGCCGCCATAGGCGGATGCTACCGAGTCCCGTCGCGATCGCTCCGCTCCGCTGCCATCGTTTGCAGATCCGCTGCTGCCATGCGCATTATCGTGTCTGCCGCCGCCAGAGCCGAAAGGGTCTGCCTTGGTCTTGGTCAGCCATTGGCTCAGCTCGGCCTCGTAGGCTCGCTCGATGATTCGGCGCTCTAGCTGCACGTAATCCTGGATCACATC